TATTTGAATGCAATTATTTATTAATAAAACAAATTATGAAATATATTAAAACAAATATGACTTATTTTTTACAAAACTTTGATAAAAAATAATATTTTCTAATTAGCTTACAGTTTACTATTACGAATAATTAATTAAATAAAACTAATTTTATTAATAAGCAGAATATTTAATATTATAAATAGTATTGCTTACTGGTGTACATTCCTTACATGACAGACGTTTTTGTACTTTGTTACACTAATCGCACTTATAATGCTCAATTATACCACCGATTATGTTTATTATTGCAATCAGGAAACAATTTCTTAGAAACATGTTTTACCTTATCATTTTTATGTGTAAATTTTAGTATCCTATCTCAAGGTATGCTTACTGAAATAATGTTAACAACACTTTAAACATATATTTAATTTAAATTTAAAAAAATTTCATTAAAACTCAATATTTTAAAGATATTCTAAATTAAAATGGTATATTCATAGTATGTGTATGTATTACATACCAATGTATATAAAATTATTTAGAAATAACTTTGTTTTCATGATAAAGATGATATAAATAATTTTACAACAATAATGTTATATAATAACAATTTCATTATTAGTTGTAACGCATTACTAAGGTATTAATGATTGACAGAATATTGACGTGAAATAAAAATATGATTGAAATTCTAAGGAAAAATACTGTAATTTTTTTCAATAACAAATTGATATTAATCCCAACAAAGATAGTGAAAAAATATTTAAATGAATATTTAGAGGTACTTCTCATCATTATTAGCCTAAATAGCGTTAAGAATGGCAAAACTGGGAGTTGTGTTGCTTTCAGTGCTTTTGCTAACATTTCTTACGGATATTAATNTTGATATTAATCCCAACAAAGATAGTGAAAAAATATTTAAATGAATATTTAGAGGTACTTCTCATCATTATTAGCCTAAATAGCGTTAAGAATGGCAAAACTGGGAGTTGTGTTGCTTTCAGTGCTTTTGCTAACATTTCTTACGGATATTAATGCCGCGAATAGAGGTACAATACTTAAAACGACACGATTTGTAATTGAATTAAATGATAATTGTATTGAATATCACAGACCATAACGACTATGTGAAGAATCCGCACCCAATCGTGTGTTACTTCGGCAGTTGGGCCCACTATCACGTGGAGGAGCCCTTCGAGATCGAGGACATTAACTATGATCTCTGCACTCATATTAACTATGGATTCGCCAAAATCGATGAAATTGATTACGACATCCGGATGTTTGATCCGTGGCAGGACGAGCACTTCGGTCAGTCATACATTCGTTTACAACGCTATTCAATCAGTAAATTAATTGTCTTTTATGATGCATTAGAGGGCTATAAGAGATTGGTTAACCTGAAGAAGAAGAACCCCAACCTAACGACAATGATATCATTGGGCGGATGGTATGAGGGCTCAGAGAAGTACTCAGATATGGTCACCAATACCGAGAGTAGACAAAAGTTTGTCAAAAGTGTGGTCACATTTCTGGATAAATACAATTTCGATGGCCTCGACTTGGACTGGGAGTACCCGGGCAACAGAGGGGGCGCCG